TCATGACGCTGCCACCGCCGTGCTTCATCATGACGCTGCCACCGCCGTGCTTCATCATGACGCTGCCACCACCGTGCTTTATGGTGGGGTTGGTGTATTTGTGATAATGTGCAGTGATTAGACATAGAATCTAGTCTGATGACCAAAAAGCTGTTTTGGTCTCATCAGACCAAAGAACCTTCTTCCAGGTGACTTCAGAGTCTCCACATGTCTTCGGGTGAACTCTAATCCAGATTTAGTGAGTTTAGAGGAGTCATAGGAGTCCTGGTGGCCTCCCTCTCTAGTCTCCTTCTGACTCGGTCACTCAGTCTCTGAGGACGTCCTGCTCTAGTCACATCTAGTCATGCTCCATGTTCCTTCCATGTCTTAATGATGGATTTATCTGGACTCCAGAGATGTTCAGTAACTTGGGAACGTTCTTGTTTTGTCTCCTGACTGATGCTTCTCAACAACCTTTCCCAGAGTTCTTGGAGGGTTCTTCAGTCTTCATGGTGTAGTTCTATCCAGGAGTTCTGATCCACCAGTGGCTGGACCTTCCAGATACACCAGTCTTTATACTACAATCACTGAGACTCATTTACTGACCTCAGATGATGCATTCACTGACTGTGGGACTTCAGTTAGGTGCGTCTTTGAAGGAGGTTAATTCTTATGTAATGACTTTTACAGGCCCTGCATGCAGCAATAAACAAGTTATCTACGAGGTCACCGTGTCTCGACCTGTTGTGGTTCAGCTGTTTACAGTCAGTCAGTGAGCTCTCACATCTAATCCAATGTGGAAAAGAGTATTTACAGAAAAACAGTGTAGAAGGAAAAGTATGTGTCACATTTATGGTGCAAAATGTCAAGATGTGTAAAAGTATGCAGCAGCGCAAAGACCACATGGAGTCCTTTGTGTTGTTCAGAATGACGAAGACGTTGGTAGGAATCAGAACGTGGACTCTGTCGTTTGTAAAAGTGTTCAGTCGCCTGTTTGCTTTAATGATCCCTGAGATGTTTCCAGAACTGATCAGAGTTCACTTGTGACTGACTGACGTGATTGGACGGTTTATCAGGGCACACCTGCACGTATCAGATCCACAGTTTATTCTGCAGGTCACAAGTCTGCCATAAAACGGAGGCTATGAAACGTCCGTAGAGCTCTGCAGAACCACAACGGTGCTGACCGGAACCACAAAGGGTTGTAGAAGAACCATTTTTAGCTCCACAAAGAACCTCTCAGCAAGAAGTTGTTTAAAGAAACATTTCATCTGTTAAAGAACCCCCAAACTGAAAACCGTTTGGTTCTGGGCTGTTGGTCCGACAGAACGACGTGTTGTCAGACGGCAGCTGGAGAGTTGTGGAGCTGTGATGAAGAATCCAGAATAAAATGACGTTTAGCTGCAGCTCTGGTTTCATGATGTTAGGAAGACATCCATCCATCATCTCTCCACCTTCATCCTCACCAGGGTCATGGGGGGCGGAG